GGCCATCGCCACTGCTTCTTCCACAATGATCTCCCTCCCGGCCGTCTTCTTCACCGGAAGGAAATAGCGGGAACGGCGATGCGCACGCGCCGCTCGCCTTCCCTCGCACTCGCACTCGCACGCCCGCTCGCGCGCGGCTGGCTCCGCCGAGCGCCCGTGCCGCGCCGTGGCAACGCCGCTCGGTCGGTAACCCGGTCGATTCGAATCGCGGTCTATTCGCCGCGAACAATATGTATAGTGATATATGCGCATAGCCTGCAAGAGCTCAATAAACGGAAGACATAGTCGAACACTTTGTATAGTAAATGAAATCATGAATGAACTGACGAAGGCCATCGACGACGTAACAGATTATCTGACACACACCAAACACGGAATAATTCTAACGAGACTATTGCCAGTAGAAATTATAATAAAAGAGCTCAAGGAAGCCACGACATATTTAGCGTCAGGACAACACTTTCCGTTTAAAATCTAAACCGAAAACTGGAATAAAATCCAAGAATACGTGAGGGTAAACGCTTACGTAAACATGACACACGTATATACCATTTTAAAATAAAACAGACAATTTAAGAGCGATAGACAAAGAAAGTCATAATTACTTAATTGTAAAAGAACGCGAGTTCAAAGCATGTACTCGAAACGAAGAAAAACATCTATGCGACCAGCATTTCCAATGTAGTATGTAAACGCGGACTGTAAACGCACCATGCGAGGTGCATACTTATGTAAAGGTCCCAGGCCACCTAAACGCTTGTGAAAAAACGACACATAGGCCGGTATTCATAGTCCGTTCTTATATTTAAGATCATCTTAAGTATGCTCTTAATGTGTTTTCAACCAACCACAGAGCTGTATTAGCGTCTTAAGACAATACTTAAGATGCTTTTGAAATAAGAATCGACTATGAATACCGGCCATAGTGCTCAATAAAACAATTTAGTTAACGGTAGAGGAACTACAAACATAGTTGTACTCCACGCGAGGCGATCAGAAAATTAGTCTTCAATGTAACGGACAGCTTGAAAAGGAAGTAACGATAAGTAGAACAGGAAAAGTCACACTAATTGTAAGAGACAATTGTAAACTAACCGCGTCTGAAGTAACTTTGAAAAGGAAAAACCGTGTAGGAAATAAAAGTATGTACAAACACACCTATCGGATTATAACATAACGAAAAATGATATAAACAGCGAAGCAGCAAGCGACAAATAAGAACTCAAAAACGAAATAAAATTAAAATCGGTTTTCAAGAACCAGAGCATCTCAATACGACCAATAAATTCGAGCAGAAACACTCCTGGAGTTTAATTCAGAACGCAACGGGCGAATCCCTAATTCTTTTCCTCGACAAAATACAGCGATTTCGGGATCGTCCCTCTGATCCTCACGTCATCGATCCAAATGTTCTCCGCCAAGGATTATCCTGGAAACGGTTTTCCTGAACTCAATGTAATCACGGAACAATGTTGTAAAAAAAATGTTTAAATAATTTTCTAGCGAATACTTTTCGCCACATAATCATTAGCATATATTGTAAACTGTAAGATATTGTAAGATAGATGAAAAAAGGATCGCCCATAGGAATCGGCGGGGGTAGACGGGAAGGCCTCTTATACTATTGCGTTGGACTGTTTTTAAGATACATGTACATATACATGGCTGATATTTTCTTCGCCAGTAATAAACTACAAACGGATAACGCTATTTGATTAGAAATGGTAGAAATTTTGTTTCTCACATCTTAAATTATTCCATATTAGAGAAGGGAAACTACCGATGGAATTTTACCTCTTCTTTTGACATGAGTAACTAACTTTCGGCTAAAAAACTTCCAAATTAATAAATATTTAAATAAAATTACCTGGATTACTCACAACTTTTTTAATCGCACTTTATAATTCTTCACACAAAATATAAACGATTCTGTGTAAAAACTGTTTATTTGTTCTATTTTAGCTAAGTGCCGATTGGAAAAATAGTTACTTAATTACAAATAAACGAAAGACTTACAAATTTGTTCAATCACACTCTAATTGACTTCATACAAAATACAAACGATTGCATATATAATAGTTATTTAAAAATACGTTTACTTCCAGCCAAGTGTAAGTGAATGGGATAGTCTTTATGGGAAAACTGTACGCTTTCCCATAAAACCTGTAGCAAGGCATTTTCATATTAAAAGTTTCGTTTTAAAATGATACAAAGTATAAGTCATTAAAATATTTATTGCCAGTTTAGAGACACCACGTACATAATTAATAATTATATTAATAAAATAATTATTTATTCATAATATATCTTGTATTTATTACGTTTTATTTATATTTCAATTTTTGTGACCGCTGATAATGACAAATGTTACTATTACACTTGAAAACTCTTTTATTTGATCGATAAGCTTTTATTAACGTGCTTGCGTGTCAGCAGCTGGCTTGCGACTGACTTGAGAGGAAACGCGAGCGCCGCTCTTCCTTTACGGGCGCGACATCTGCTCAATCCTGGTTACAATTAGGAGGCGCGCCATACAAACCATAAACTTATAAAACTAAAGATTACATATATCGGACACGCTGCCCGCCTTGACAAATATCATATATTTTCAAAACGTAGAGTAGTTATAACTAAAATAAATGGCTTCCAACAAATAAACAAACATACAAAATGCCTTTATAATGTGGCATGGTTAATTAATCGGATATAGGAGCTACATTAGTGATTGCTCGTTTGTAAATCCCCGTTTTGGTTTGTAAGGTAACAGCCCGGATTTTTCCGTCTAGTCCTGGATGTACTTCAGTAATTCTTGCGAGAATCCATTCAAGGGGTAAACTGCCCGACTCCTTTAACATCACGAGTTGACCAACGACGAATTTGCTGTCGTTATCTCTTTTCCATTTGCTTCTTTGTTGGCATGTTGTTAGATACTCCTGTTGCCATCTTGACCACAACTGCTGCTTGAGCTGCTCAATGTGTTGCCAACGGGAAAGCCTGTTCTCGGGTACCCTTTGTAAATCCTCCTCTGGATAAGCTTGTAAATTCTCTCCTATTAGAAAATGTCCCGGTGTTATAGCCTTCATATCATTGGGATCCTCGGACAGGGGGGTTAAAGGTCGAGAATTTAGTATCGCTTCTACTTGAGTCAATACGGTCGTCATTTCTCCCACTGTCAGACATGCCTCGCCCAAAGTACGCTTTAGAAGTAGCTTCATAGAACGCACTGCTGCTTCCCATAAGCCTCCGTAATGAGGTGACCTTGGAGGTATGAAGTGCCAACTTATTTGCTCTTTAGTTGCAAACTCTTGCACCGTGCTATTGAACGTCGTATCCTCCAAAGCTTGTTGTAGTATACGATCGGCACCCACAAAGTTTCTTCCATTGTCCGAGTACATATTCTTCACTTTGCCTCTTCTTGCGATGAGCCTTTTTAGAACGGCTAAGAAGGCCTCGGTTGTCAAGTCTTCTACTAATTCTATATGTACCGCCTTGGTGACCATACAAATGAATATAGCCACATATGCCTTGTATTTCTTACTGTTGCGACGAATTCGATCCCGGACGAGGAAAGGGCCGCAGTAGTCTACTCCACAGTTATAGAAAGGTCTGCTGATGTTAACTCTGACTGCCGGTAACTCTCCCATTAATTGCCAGCCGGCTTTAGGATGGGCCTTGCGACATCTTACACAGTTTCGTAGAATCTTCTTCACACGACTTTTTGCGAAGATTGGCCAAAATTCTTCCCTAATAGAATTTAAAGTTGTCTGGACACCAGCGTGGAATAATCTTTCATGATGATGCAAAATTACCAAAGTGGTAAAGTCATGCGATGCGGGAATCAAGATAGGGTGCTTAACTTCGTCAGATAATGTCGCGTTTTTCAGTCTTCCTCCGACCCTCAATATTCCATTGCTATCCAAGTACGGATATAGCGACACTAACTTGGAATCTCTTCGGACCTTGTTGTTGCCCTTCAACGCCTTAATATCATCTTTAAATTCTTCCTTTTGTATTAACTTGATAGTAGACGCCTTAGCCTTCTTGAGTTCTTCAGCAGTTATTGCCCCTATTTCACGCCTTTTCTTTTCACATCGTATATTATGACTAAATCTTAATACATACGCAACTACTCGCAGTAGCTTATTTAACGAAGAAAATTTATTATAATTAATAATCGCTTCACAATTCACAGCCGTCGCTATTATTGCTTGTTTTCGCATTTCTGGAACGCTCTCACATGATAATTCCTCACCTTCCACCGGCCAGAATTCTTTATCCTGCATCAACCATGGTGGTCCTTTCCACCAACTATCTGCTCGCATTAATAGCTCGGGGGTGGCCCCTCTGGAAATCAAGTCCGCGGGGTTGTCTTTTGAACTTATATGTCGCCAATCTGAAGGTGAAGACTTATCATGAATATCACTAACTCTATTTGCCACGAACGCCTGCCATTTTCTGGACGAGGAACCTATCCATGCTAACACTATCCTTGAATCTGTCCAGTAAAATTTCTGGTGTATCTGCAAATGCAAGCTATTTATTACCTTATCCATCAAGTTTACCAGTAGCACTGCACCGCATAATTCTAGTCTAGGCAAGGATAGTGCCTTCATAGGCGCTACTCTTGATTTTGAGCACAGTAGGGAACCTGTTAAAAGACCACGCTCGTCTTGCTCTCGTAAATATACGCAGGCTCCATAAGCCTTTTCACTGGCGTCACAAAAACCGTGTATTTGTATTTGTGAATTCGTTTTACCCGGGATTACCGATCTAGGTATCTCTAACTCGTTAAGTAAATATAATTGTAGTTTCATTTGATCCCATGCTCTATGAAGATGCATAGGGAGGGATTCATCCCAGTCTATACCCAAACTCCATAGTTCCTGCATAAGTATTTTGGCTAACGTTATAACTGGCCCCACTAAACCTAAAGGATCGAATAATCGGCAAATCTGCGATAGCATAACTCTCTTTGTTACACGAGTTTCGCCCTCCTTTAACGATACCTTGTATCGAAAAGTATCCTTGCTTGGACTCCATAATATACCTACTAATTTAGATTCCGCGTCCTTACTAATGTCTACCTCTTTACTTTCTGTTTTTATATTGTTCTCTTGATCTATTATGTTAGAGTTCCATTTATGTAGTGCAAAACCACCTTTTGCTAACAATTCCGTTAATTCCTTTTGTAGTTCTATAATTTCGGCTTTAGTATTACTCCCGGTTAGTAAATCGTCCATATAAAAATCCCTGCAAACTATTTTCGCAGCTTTAGGATAATTTACCTTTTCACTTTCGGCTAATTGGTATAAACATTTAGTGGCCAAGAACGAAGCCGGTTTTGTACCGTAAGTTACAGTAAGCAATTCCATTTCCTCTATCTTTGATTCGGGCTCTTCTCTCCACAGAATACTTTGCAACGCAATTTGTTCTTCATGCACTAAAATCTGCCTGTACATTTTTGATATATCCGCACACAGAACGTATTTATAACATCTGAATCGTATAATTAGGTCAAATAAATCAGACTGAATGACAGGACCCTTGTATAACGCGTCGTTTAAAGATTTACCCTTTGAATACTGACTGGATGCATCGAACACCACCCTTGTTTTGGTGGTAGCACTACTCTCTTTTATTACTGCGTGATGTGGTAAAAAGACTCTCAGTTTATCTTTATCGGGACAAACTACCTTTCGCATATGTCCGAGCTGTAAATAATCCTGTATAAATTTTACATATTCTTTCTTTAGTTCCGGTTTGTTAATAAACTTTCGCTCTAAAGCTATAAATCTTTTTAACGCTACCTCTCTGGAGCCATCTAAAGCCTTTAATATTTCTTCTTTAACCGGTAATTTTACTATAAATCTACCG